ATACATTATGCTATTTCATAATTCTGATTACCTTACCCATATAACATGCATATCATCTTGTTTCAATGAAATTAAAAAGAGTGAGGTGAGAGAGAGAAAGAGAGAGAGAGAGAGAAAGAGAGAGAGAGAGAGAGAGGCCTTTTTCCTTTCCAGGTGAAATCATTTGTGAGTCTAAGAAAAAAAAACATCAATAAACCACAGAAAAAATCTAAGTCAAGGCAGAACTATTTAAATCAGTATAAGCAGAATGTGCATTTTAAAAGGATGCCTTCTATAGAAAATGGGAATCTGTAATTTCTGCACATTGCACTGAAAAACACTTTCAGTAATCCGAAAGTCACCTGGAAATGCAAATACTGAAATGCATGTCATCAAATGTTCATATGACTAAATGACTTTTTGCAGTAAGTACCACTAAAGACAAAATAGCATTTGTATAATTTTACCTGCAGAATTTTTTTCTTTTTATATGATTTTAAGTTGTTTCAGTTTAATTATAAATAGTTATATCCAATAAGAAGTTTGTGGGGTTTTTTAATTAGAGATTATTGGTCCCAATAGCAATATGTTCAAGCAATAGATGCAAGAACTACAGGATGAGATTTCAGCTCTGGAAGGGAAAAGAGAAGCAAATTGATTTGACATTGGAACTAAGGTTGACAGGAAATAATAATTTCACTGAACCTACAAGTTGATTATTAAATTCTAAATTTTACTCCAATTTAAGGGCTATTTGGAGGTACTTGGATTCGTGATTGATTGGTTCTTGTCAAAGACAAACACCAAACAAGGAAGACAATTACTTTTATTCAGGTTACAACTATAGGAAGAACACTCCAGATCTAAAGATCAGAGTGTCTCAGCAGGATGGTTTCATCTTAAGCTTTTATAGGGAGAAATAGATAGGTTACAGCTGGAGAGATTTTACAGTTGGGATTGTTTTTATAATCACAGGGGGGTTCTCAGTAAGTCACTAAACAAGAAATATTTATCTCTGTGTCTGGCTAATTTGGGGAAGAAAAACAGCTTAGTTAATTATTTATGAGACAAAGAATAGAAATTTAGAGTCTGTGTCTGGACTTGTCAAACTTAAAAAGAGATTCATTAGCAAATTTTATGTAAGTCATAGGGAGAAGGGTGGTTCTTCGTAGTAAACCATCTTCCCAGATCACAAAGAGTAGAGGTTTCTTACCTTCTCTGTTGTCCAAGAACACAGGGCTCAAAAAAAGTTCAACATTGTCAATCTCATTCCAGTTATTAACTAGAACTAAACTATCTTGCCTATTTTTTTTAGTTCAAAAATACTGACATGAATGTGTAAATTAAGGTAAAATTGCTTTTTCCAAAGATGGTGGAGGGAAATTATTTGGATATGTCTGTAGGAATTGTTTTGCATTGCTCTTAGTTGCCTACAACTTGCAAAGTGGTAAAATCACTCAAAGACTAGGACAGACTAAAATCACATAATCTGGAGGAATGTCAATGGAAAGTGCATTGTTCTTCCTTTTTTTATGCCTTGCCTTTAACGCTGAAGTATGAAGTTTTTAGTGTTCTTTAACCAGGCCCTGGCTCCTCCTATCTCTAACCCTCTTTTGTAATCTTTCCTGTCAATTATAGGTAGAATTGTTTTCCCTCAAAGCTCTTATGTTAAAGAATGTGACCTTAGGTAGAAATAGGGTCATTGTAGATGTAATTAGTTAAGATGAGTTCCTAATGAAGTAGGGTGGGCCCTAATTCAATATGACAGATGTCCTTACCAAAAAGAAAAATTTGGACACTGGCATGCCCACAAGCAGAAGGTCATGAAGAGATGAAAGCAGAAATCAGGGTAATATTTCTGTAAACTCAACAACACAAAAGACTGACATCAAACCAGTAGAAGCTAGAGAGACATGAACTAGATTCTCCCTCTGTGCCCCCAGAAGAAGCCCACCCTGCAGACACCTTGATCTTAGACTTCTAGCCTCCAGATGTATGAGATTAATTTTCTGTTTTTATGTCACCCAGTTTAGGCTATTTTGTTACAGCAGTCCTGGCAAATGAATATACTCCCTTCCTGCTGTGTTCTGTGTTTCTCTCAATTCATCCCCTTTTAAGAAAACCCAGGCTGTTTCCTCTTCCGGGAACACATTTCTTCCTTCCAATCACAGACACTTGGCCAACTTTTACTCATCTTTCAGATCTCTGCTTCATCCTTTCTACCTCTGCAAAACCGTCCTTGTCTCATCTACACCCTATAAATGTAAAGAGCCAGTCTACTGTACTCCTATGGAATACTGTATTACTTTTCATACTATTATTGAGAAGGCTAAAAAGGGCTAATTCAAATGTAACCCTGATATTTTGATGGCTAGCAATTGGAATCCATGCCAGCAAGCCATTCTTGATAACCTATAATTAAGTCATTACCTCCTTCCCAGAAACTGGTCTTGCAGAATCTGTTAGAGGCCATAAACCTGTGAACAGTGCACTGCCCTGAGGGAGGG